AGGACATTTGCAAGCTCGGCAGCATTAATATGCTTATCTATTGAAAGAAGTATAGTTCCAAAGTAATTACTAGTCATCTTGTACTCAGTTCATTACAGAACTTTCAAGAGAATGAAATTGTCAGGGCGCCTGGGTGGCTCAGTGGGTTAAGCCTCTCCCTTCGGCTCAGGTCATGATCTCAGGGTTATCGGATCGAGCCCCACATTGGGCTTTCTGCTCAACTGGCAGCCTGCTTCCTCTTCTCTCTCTGCCTGCCTCTCTGCCTACTTGAGATCTCTCTCTCTCAAATAAATTAATAAAATCTTAAAAAAAAATGAAATTGTCATCAGAGATTGATAGGTTCAAATAAATAAATCCTTTATTACATAAACTATGCACCACATTATAATCTAGTGATCCAGAGAGTTAAGGACTGACCTGAATCAACGATCTGAACTATAGTATATTTCTCAGGCAAGATGCATATTTTTACATCATTTTTGTGATCTGACTAGTTTACACTCCCTACCATGTCTCTGTGGAATTTTCTACTGGCTTTATTGGTAGGTGATCATTCCTCCAAATTTCAAAAAGAAAAAATTTGATCTATACTGATTCATAATATCAATGTACTACTGTCTTTTAATGCCAAGAAACCGTAGACAGTCAGCTCTAATAACATTGGACAATGAAGCAAAACTTTTCTCTTTTTTCAAAATGTCCTCTGTAACCTTAACATGATACAAAAATATTATTATCTTCAGACCCACAATATCCAATAAATGGTGAAGGTAAAGCCTGAAAAAAATCCAGAGTATAATAGGTCCTCAAAGTATTTGCAGTCATCTTTCTTGACATGTTTATATTTCCATATCATAGCTGATGGTGGGTATGTAGAGGACTATCTACTTGGCATATTTTCTCTGTGAATTTTAAAGACCCTGTCACATATTGGCTAGCAGCTTGCTCTGTGGGTGATGTGCTTTATGTGGACCTCCATGTTTATGGTGTGAGAGCCCTGATACAGCTGGGGGGAACCCACTAGGGGCCTGGTGCCTTATACTTTGGAATTCCCAATAGTGAGGGCTCCAGACATCTCAGTGTGGCAGAGAACAGAAAATGGTGCCAGGGGTGTACCAGAGGACCCAGTTTGTTCATTAAATTATATTTTAAGGGAGAAAGAAAGAGCTTTAAGATCTTCTTTATAAGTCACTCTCTAGGCCTTAACCAGCTTTCCTATATAACCATTCCTGAAATTTTGATGGGAAGACTGGAGAATGCTTTCATTTTGCTTCTCTGCATTTCAAAATGTTTGCCTTTATGGCTGTTTTATTTCTGGCCTTTCCATATCCATTCCATATTGATCCCTACCACCTTACTCCATTATTCTGTCCTCTTCTGTTTTCTCCAGGATCTTGTTTCTGCAATCTATTTCCCTTATCTTCAATCTTTCCTTTCTTCTATTCTGTGTGTGTAAATGGAAAGAAACCCTCAGGACTTTCCTACCCCTTCTACAGTGGCTTTCCCCCCTCCTTCCTTTCTCTGCCACACTTTCCAGACAATTGGCTGTCCTCTGTCTTCTCAGCCTCTGGCACAACTCTTACATATTTGATGCATGAATAAAGGAATGATCTCACATTCATCTCATTCACTTTATGCCAGCCACACACAGCCTTCTTTCTGTTCTCTGAACATGTCAAGCTCATTCCCGTAGGGCCTGTGGGCTTCTTGTTTCCTTATCCTGGAACACTTCCTCAGATCTTCACCTGGCCAACTCCTCTCATCATCCCTGCATATACACACACACTCACACGTACATACAGATACCCTGCACACATAGTTACACAGGCACACATGTTTCTTGGAGATCACCAGTGATCCCTTTTTCAAATTAAGTGCATATTTATTTATTTATTTATTTTAAAAATTAAAACAAAAATTTTTTAAAAATATTTTATTTATTAGAGAGAACGTGAGAGAGCACAAGCAGGGGGAGCAGCAGGCACAGGGAGACGGAGAAGCAGGCTCCCCGCCGAGCAAAGACCCGGATGCAGGGCTCGATTCCAGGACCCCGGGATCATGACCCGAGCCAAATGCAGACACCCAACCGCCTGAGCCACCCAGGCGCCCCAAGTGCATTTTTAAAGTAAACTTTTTTCTTCCTTTCCTTTCCTTTCCTTTCCTTTCCTTTCCTTTCCTTTCCTTTCCTTTCCTTTCCTTTCCTTTCCTTTCCTTTCCTTTTTTTTTTTCTTTTCTAAGAGTGAGAACATGTGAGCTACCTAGGAGCCCCAGAGCACATTTCCTCTTAATGACTTGATGGAGTAAGTGTCTGTGGGTGTGTTGTGGGGGATGGGTGCGCAGAGCTAAGATGCCAACTTCCCTGTGGGGCCTCAGCTGGTGACCTGACCATTTTACAAGATCTCATCCCTGACTTCCTTGTGGCAGAATTGGGGATAGAACTAGGAAGGGCTTGCATGCTGTGGTTTAGTTCTTACTTTAGTTCTTCTTGCATGCTGTTTCAGTACTTAGAATCACTGAACTTTAGAGCTTTAGTTCATTTGGTTCAACTTCTGCCTTTAAAAAGTGGGGAAAGAGAGCTAATATTTTTTTTTTTAAGATTTTATTTATTTATTTGACAGACAGAGATCACATGTAGGCAGAGAGGCAGGCAGAGAGAGAGAGAGAGGAGGAAGCAGGCTCTTCACTGAGCAGAGAGCCGGATGCGGGGCTCGATCCCAGGACCCTGAGATCATGACCTGAGCCGAAGGCAGAGGCTCCAACCCACTGAGCCACCCAGGTGCCCCGAGAGCTAATATTTTGCCCAGGAAACTATAGAAGACCTCCCACCAATCTGGGCTTTCTTTCCTTTCTTTTTCCTTTCTCTTTCCTTCTTCCTTCCTTTCTTAGTTTTTTGAAGATTTTATTTATTTATTTGACATAGAGTGGGAGAACACAAGCAGGGGGAGCCGTAGGGGGAGAGGGAGAAGTGGAGAGGGAGAAGTAGGCTCCCCACCAAGCGGGGAGCCCAATGCAGAACTTGATGTGGGACTTGATCCCATGACCTGAGCTAGACGCCTTAGCGGACCTTAGCAGAAGCCTAAATACTGAGCTACCAAGGCGCCCCTGGTTTTCCTTTCTTCAAAAGTCTGGACTCAGAGGTCACTAAGGTGCTGCTCCCAATCAAAATAACTCTTGGTAGAATTGATCCTTTCTCTCTTTTGGTATCATCATCCAGATAGTTTGGTGGATGATGTGTTAACATTGCTATGGGGAGGGCGCCTGGGTGGATCAGTTGGTTAAGTGGCCAACTCTTGACTTTGGCTCAGGTTATGATCTCAGGGTCCTGGGATTGAGCCCTGCATCAGCCTCCTCACTCAGCTGGGAGTCTGCTTGAGGATTCCATCTCTCCCTCTGCCCAGCCCCCTCTCCCTGCTCATGCTCTCTCTCTTTCTGAAATAAATATATAAATTTTTAAAAAATACATATTGTTACATAGTACCTCATGGAAGACATAGTTCCTGGCCCTAGGAATTTACAAACTGAGACCAGGAGTTTAAGAATGATTTGTACATGCCAGTCAAGTCAAAAGAAAGAGAAAATTTTAAATATGGGTTTTATTTGAAAATCAAACCAGATATTAAATAGAAATAATCTTTCTTTATTTTTTTTGCTTTTATTTGAACTTTCCACTTTATATATGTTGATAATCTCAAATTATAATTTAAATTTAGGAAAGTGCTAAGGGTGAGTGGACATTTGCTTTTCCCCTCCTGGGATGCAGCAGTGTCAGAGTGGGGAGGGAGAGATGACGTTGCTGAGCACTTCTGCAAAGGTGGGGGATTGTTATTTCTACTTCTCTGCTAGGACAGTGAGGTATTAGGATTCCTGGTGGTTAGGTTTCTGGTAAGATGAAGGGAGGGGACATTTGAACCCAGTACTGTTATTAATGTCACAAAGGCCCAGCGCTGGCAAACAGGAAACCTGGTGAGAAAGGGACATTCTGTCTAAGAAAGAGAAGGCAAAAAAGACATAGCTGTTCTCATTCCCACACCCTTTATTGAATTATAATAATTTCCCAAAGAACTCTGAGCCCTGCTACTTTAGGCTGTCAGCCTGACATCTATCTTTTTTTCCGCAAGCCCGGCACCCTTCAGGGGTCTTACGGTCCTGCTGGGAAGCCAGGGCTGTGTGGGAGTGGGCCTTCCATGAGTGCACACCATTCTGTCACCCCTGGCCCCCCAGCCCCTGGCTCCTTTGGTCTAACCTCTAGACAACCTTTCAACCTTCCCTGGCAGTTCTTTACTGTCCTGAGAATATCTTTCCCAAGAACTTGTAAATATCAGAGCTTCCGCTTTTATAAAGTGCTTTCATGTCCACCCTGTCACCTGATCCTCATAACATCCTTGGTGAGAGAGGAGGGAAGGGCTTATTACTCCCATTTTATGGGAAAGAAGATGAGGTCTGCCCTCTTGATTCTGCAGTGTCATCAGGGAACAGTTACAAATCTCAGCCTCATGCTGGCCCAGCAGTGTTCTTTTGGCACAGGTTCCAGGTTTTCTCATTCTCTCTCTCTCTCTCTCTCTTTTTTTTTTTTTTTTTTTTTTTGTCTCCTATTTTCTAGAATCCCAGTGGCTTCTAAGTGGCAGGCACATTACACATATGGCTGATGATCCACGGTTAACCAAAGGCTGCAGTCACAGCTGTGTTGTTTCGGTAGCATACCTCCACACTCTAGCTGATTTCCAGGTGTCCTGTGCCACTGCTGTCTCATGCTTGCAGTCTTTTCTGTTTACAATTCATCATCTCATTAGATTTTTTTTTTTAAAGATTTTTTTTAATTTATTTATTTGACAGAGAGAGAGAGAGAGCACAAGTAGGCAGAGAGGCAGGCAGAGAGAGGGGGAAGCAGGCTCACCGCCGAGCAGAGAGCCCGATGCGGGGCTCGATCCCAGGACCCTGAGATCATGACCTGAGCCGAAGGCAGAGGCTTAACCCACTGAGCCACCCAGGTGCCCCAGATTTTTTTTTTTTTTTTTTTTTTTTTTTACAGAACATAGGTTTGCAGACTTTGGTTTTATCCACATGGATGTTTTGGTTTATTTTCTCTTGCCTAAATGTTAGGCATCCAACATCATGGGTCCCCCAAATTAATATAATTTAATTTCCAACTTGTCCATACAAAACAAATGTGTTCTTAAGACAAAGCACTGAAGACCAGAATCCTTTCTCTGCTTCTATTTCTTGACTCAGCAGCAAGTAAACAGTTGTGTAAACATGTGTGGGTTTGTGTGGGACCCACTGGTTCTTGTTCCAATTAGGTACTAAGTGGCCCTGCTTTATTCAGAATGGAGATTCCCGTAGGATCTGGACTTTCATCAAGGCCCGTTTCAGCTGCTCATAGGTCACGAACATCACCACGTTCCAGGTTCCCAAACGCAAAAATGATGGTGTAAATCTGATGAGAGAACAACCAGACTATCAGGGGGCGGGGACTAAGTACCCCACACGGATGTCCCACATAGTGCTCCCCGCATTCACGGCATTAGTGCCAAAGGACCTAGGACTCTGTTAGTCACAAACATTCTGTGAGTCCGTTCAGGCTTTTCTCCTCTGCCGAAGGAATTTAGGCAGAAGCAGGAGTCAAGAAAGGAAAGAAAACACATTTTGAACCAGGTTCTGTGTTAGGCAGTTAATTCCCGCAAGTCTATAAGGAAGCTACGATGGTTGCCACGTTTCCTTTTTAGAAACTGAGGCCCAGGCGTGTCTGGGTGGCTCAGTTGGTTAAGCGTTTGACTCTTGGTTTTGGCTCCAGTCTCGGTCCCAGGGTTGTGGGATGTAGCCCCTTGTCAGGCTCCGTGGTGAGTGGGGACTCTGCTCGGGATTCTCTCTCTCTCCCCCCCTCTCTCTACCCCCACCCCACGCTTGTGTGTGGGTGCTCTCTCTCCCTCCCAAATAAGTAAATCTTAAAAAAAAAAAGGAACTGAAGCCCAGGGCAGTTAAGGAGCTCAGCTAAAACTATCTGACTCCACCCTGCTGCTGGGTATTTCTGCAATCATTTACATGCTGAGGGGCCATCCCTGCGAGGCCCTACCAGGGCACCTAGAAGCCGGCACACCAGAGGGTGAAGACTGGGTGACACCAGCTTTATAATCTCCAGAGAGCCTGCCTGTCCTGTGATAACACAGCTGGGAGCCAGTCTCCACCTCAGCTTCACAGACTCAGGGAGGAGCCTGGGACCTGACCTGCGCCCTCTTCAGCCCCTCTGTCTGCTAATCCCCTCCTGGTCCTATCCTCTCCTGCCAGACTTACTTCCTGTGCCCTTGTCTGAGCTGCTCCTTCTGCCTGGGAATGTCCCCTACTCTCCTCCTTGCCTGGCTGGTTGCTCTTGGCTCTGCAGGACTAGGCTTGGGCCCCACAGACTCATACCAAGATCTCTCCAGATGCCTCAGCCTAGCCTCCCCAGGGAGAATAGCACTGGGGCAATGAAGGTGAACTCCAGAGTCCAAGCTGGGCTCAGACCTTAGCTCTCTCAGTTTCTAGTTTCATGACCTAGGACAGGTTACTTAATCTTTCTAAGCCTCAGTATCCTCATCTGTAAAATGAGGAACATAACAGCATTTACCTCATATAGTTGTTGTGAAGGACTAAATGAGTTAATGCACAGCATACAGTACAGGGCCCAGTCTCCGTAAATGCTCCATTAATGTCACCTATGTCTGCTGCTCTTTGAGGCAAGCACAGGGCCTGGCACACAGGAGATGCTCAGTAAATTGTTTTCCAAGTGAAAGAATAAACTGAGACAGGCGGTGGCTGATTGTAATGAGAGAAGCACTTACAGGGAAAGAACAGCCTGGCAACAGAAGGAGTTTTATATGTCACTTACAGGGTTGAGGACCTGATTGCATGTTGGGTCCCATCTAACATGGGGCACCAGAAAACTATCTGCTGAAGGCATCAGTGGTGGGAGGGGTGAGGGCCAAGCCAAGAGCCTGGCAATAGGACAGATGACAACACGGGGGGCATCTGATGATCTGGCTTAGAGCCATGGCTCTGACATTGTAAGTCTGGGATCTTGGGTAAGTCACTTGACCTTCCTGAGTCTCCATTTCTTCCTCAGTAAATGTGGAGAAGACCATCCAATTCAGGGGTTGTTGAGATAATCTGTGTAAAGTGCTTTGCATAAGGTCTTGTACTTAGTGCCTTAGTGGTCATGGTGGTTGTTCACAACCTACATTATTGAGCGCTGGCTCTTGGCTAGGGAGGTGAAAGATGGATAAGCCTCCAGTTCTGGCTTTGAGGAGCTTGTGACCCAGCATGGGGAATATTTTAACTTTACAAATCCTATAACACAAGGTAGGAGGTGGTAAGTACCCTAAACAGTAGAATCAAGGATGTATTGGTGAAGTTCACAGGGAGGAGGAAAGATTCCTACCGGAGAATACTGGGGAGGAGGTGGCCTTTGAACTAGTTCTGACGCATGTGCATGAGCGGGAAAGGCATTCCATTAAGAAGGAATGGTAAAAGCAGACCCAGAAGCAAAAAAATGTGACGTGTGCTGGGCATTTCGGCCGCCATCCGTGCTGATCCAGAGTCATGACAGTGGGCTGGAGGCAAGTCTCAGGACGACCGACCACCTTTCCTTCCTCCCTTACTGTAAGTTTGGGGATAGTCAACACTTTGACCTATGCCTAGAATTCTTTTTCTCAGCCTCCCCTGACTCTTCAGATCAGATTTGGTCCACTTTTTTTTTTTTTTTAAACTTCTTTAGTTCTTTATATTTGTCCTTTGTGGTGTTTACATCTGTGCTGTTCACCACCACGTCCCCAGGTGGACCCGTGGTAGGCACATTATATGTGGAGGAAGGAAAGAAAGAAGAATGGAAGGAAGGAAAGAAAGAAGGGAAGGAAACAAGCCCAGGTTCTCTGGGAGGGGGTGCTGGAGGCAGGAAGGGGAGACTCACCCCTTATAGAAGGCAGTGGGGCCCTCGTGGGCCACCATCTTCAGCATGCAGTCCAGGGGGCTGTGGTATTGGCCTGGGGGCGAGTTCATGTACCGGGTCTTCACCACGTCCACTGGGGAGGCCACCACTGTGGCACAGAAGCCGGCTCCAAAGGCAGAGATGAAGTGGCAGGGGAAATTGTCTGCAGCGGGGAAGGGAGGAGCAAGTATGGAGCTGTGGGAAGGCAAAGCGCTGCCTTTCTGTTCCCCGTGTGTCGTCATTTGTCCTTCACTAAACTGGAAACTCCTGAGTGTAAGGACGGTGCTTTCTAAAGCTCTCACAGGACTCGCAAAACAGAACAGGGCTGTCCCACTGCTGGACGCCCAGCGATCTCATTAAAGGAAAACGAAGTATGAGAAGGTGACACTTGCTTCAAGGTGCATGGTGGGAAGTGCTGGGCTGGAACCCAGGGCTCTGGCCTCCCTGTCCAGGCTTCTTTCCCATTCATCACAATGATGGAGGGGTATTTTTTTTAAAGCTCTAATTGGCATTATTAAGTGATTCATGAATTGGGCAGCACCCCGTCTAGCAAGTTAAGAGGCACTCCTATACTGGGCATTTTTACTGGGCACTGCTCCCCTCTCTGCTCCTTCTAACACCCAGTCACCTCTGAGTGGTACCCACTCTGTGGAATTCCAGGTTTCCTCCCTGCTGTGGGAGGGCAGCTCCCCGGAACCCAGGTCCTCACCCGTGAGCAGACGATAGTCTAGCAGCTTCTCCTTGATGATGTCATAGGTCACCATCTCAGCACAGTTGACGATGGCGTTCCTTGTGATGTTGGGGAAAGTTCCTGTGAAGGATGGGATGGGGGCTGATGAGTGAAAATGAGACACGGACTCCCTGGTTGCAAGGTCCTGGGCTCCAGTTTGGGGGCAGAATGCTCCATTCCAGGGGTCTCAGAGGAGCCCGCCTCATCTGAGCGGATTCCACACTTTCCTCTCTGGGGCTAACTCTTAGGTTATCCGTGTCCACCTCAGAGACAGGAAACAGAGAGGCCCTCTTATGTTTGTCTGAGCCACACTTTGGAGAATAATCTGTAATATCTATCAAAATTAAAATATGCCTCCCTAAGACCCAGCTAAAGTCAGGCAAGGAAGCCTTTCTTCTTTCCAAGAGCTCCAAGACTCTTGGAGCAGTGACAGGAAGTAGCACTGGGAGGCCCTAGGAGAGCATCAAGACCCAGCCACTGATATCACAGATGAGGGCTGGACTTGGGGAGAGTGCAGAGCAAATCAGGCTGTGACCCAGGGGTCCTGTGCTTAACCTTCACTGGGTCACTCTCTTTTCTGCAAGGATTGGTGTGATCCTTGGTCCACATGTGGGAGAGATTCCAGCATTTGTCACGGTGGCCTCCATGGGGACACATAGGGACCCCGGAAGCCTTACTCTTGAGGAAACCCCCTCCTCATTGAATCTCCTTGCACCCGACAACTCACAGCTGCCTCCTCCACTGGCCTCTGTTTCTTCTCTGAGTCCTGTAGTCCTACAGTCCTATGTCTATAGTCATCACCCCTGAGAGAACTTTGCTGGGGAAGCCCGCCCCTTCCATCTCCACACACCTAGAGCCCACTGAGCCTTGAGGCCCAGCTTCCGTGTCGCCTTCCCCCCCCGACCTTGGAGTCTGCACGGCCTCTCTTGCCTCTGGCTGTGTACCTCTGTGTGACCTTTGCACGTCCTACCCTGTGGAATGGCTGCTCCTTGACATGTCTCCTCCCTCTCCATCTGTGAGAGCCATGAGGGTAGGGAAGGTATCTTCCATTCCTTTATGTCTCCCTCACAGCAACCTGCACATGCTGAAGGGTTGCCAAATTGAATTGAACTCGGGCACTGTGGCAGGTCAGTGTGAGAGTTTTGGTTGGGATGTTCTTGCAGGATCACTGGACTATACCATGCTGGGAGTTCCCTCCTTGCTCAGTTCTCCACCCTAACTCAGGGTAGGGCATGCTCTACCCTGGGCCCTCTGAGCCTGGAGTCCAGACCTACCTTTCCATAGGCCCCTGAGTCCTTCCTCCCTGGCGATGGTCCTGTAGGCGTCCATTGTCCCACTGTATTTCCTGTTGCTCCCGGCCCCAAGGTGTATGCTGGCCTGAAACCGGACCTTCACCACATCCGTGGGCTGGGCACATGATACCGCCATGGCCCCGGTGGTGCAACCTGCCAAAATCCGGGTAGTGATGCTCGAGTCTGGAGAGGAGGAGAGAGAGGGGGTCGGCGTTTGGCCAGCCAGTGCTCCTCCGGGCTGGACGCTCTTCTCTGTGGGGCTGCCCCTGCCTGACGCCTGCCTCTTCTCCCAGGCTCGGGGTCCCGACAGCGGCTCTGTCTCCTCGTGACTGTCTCCAGCCTTCAGCGGCCCAGCCCTGCCTCTGAGTCTGCACCACCTGCATCCCTGATCCGCTAGCCTAGAGTCTGCTTCTGCCTACCCCCTCTGTGTCTCCGGGATGCCAGGCACTCACGGTCGGATCCCTTGGGGGTGTAGAACTGCTTGACAGAGTCGTAGAGGCCGATGCGGATGGAGGCGAAGCTCATCTGGCGCTGCAGGCCGGCGACCAGCCCATTGTAGGGGCTGCGGGGGCCCTCGGTGCGCACCATGGTCAGGATGGTGCCCAGCACGCCGCGGTACTGGGGTCTCTGGGCTGCCTGGGTCGCCTGCTTCTCCCCCTGGATCTGAGGAACGGCCCAGCAGAGGGTGAGGAGCTGGGAAAGGGGTGGATGGGGCCGTGTGCAGAGGGGCCTGCCCGGGGCTGGTTCTCGAGTGGGAGCACGATTGGAGCCGCCACATCCCCGTGAAAATAAGGTGTGTGCCCCCAGCCACACCGTTCCTAAACTGTGACCCGTGGTGTGGTGCTCAGCCCTCAGAGCACATGGAGGGCAGATTGTTTTCCCCACAACAAGTGGTCAGTGGTTTGCCCAAGGTCACACAGTTACTTTTCCTTCACACTCCATGGTTTCCGAAGTCAGGTGAGGCCAGGAAGGGCCCAAGGACCTACGATTTTTTTGTCTCAGACGATGGTGGCGCAGGGTTGTAAGCAGTGGAGTGAGTGGCCTGCGCGGGGTTCTGTGAGGACGAGCAGGCTGGCACACGCTAGAGGTGCTGGTGTGGAGAACTCAGTCCTGCCTTTGATCTGAGCAACGACCCTTGCCAAAAAGTACTTACCTGTAGGCGAACCTTGGCTGTGTCCAGTGGAAAGGTGAGTAGATCAGCAAAACAGGCTGCTGTGCCTGCCCCCAGGAATTTCACAGCTGTGGTGGGAGGTACCTCTGAAGGCTTTAGTCCAACCATGGTCCCAGAAGGTTCTGCCTGGTCCCTCCGGGGCCCAGGAGAGAGAAGAGAGGAGAGAGGTCCAAGAAGAGAGGCCGCTTTGCAGTCCTGAGCTTTAGTGCAGGGAGGAGGCTGCCAGAGACAGGCCAGAGGAGGCAGATGGAACTTGGGCCATCCAGACCTGTCCCCAGGCTCCTTTCAACACTGGGAGAAGCTTTAGTTAGAGAAAAGCCGGGGCTTTGCTATGTTTAGCTGTCTGGATTTGGCTTATAAGAACAGCTCACTTTCCCATTCCGTTTTTCTTGCGGCCCTCTCCTACTCCCTCCTTTTTCCACTGACCAGGTGGATCTTCATCCTTTAGAGGGGGAAACTGAGGCCCAGGCAGGGACCAGATCTCATTCCGACTCCATCCTACAACCTGTTTCCTCCCACACCAAGCTGCTCCCTGGAGTATACGGAGAGCCGACCGAGTCTTTCCACTGCACGTCCTTCTTCCCCAAATCAACAATATGATTGTGCCTCGTGACTCATCTCAACTGTTGTTTATCTTGGATGAAAGCTTGTTTTTTTGCAAGGCTGCTGGAATATACTCTTATTATACTTAAAGCGAAATCGTTCCCAGCCTGTGATTCCTCCTCTCTCACTAAAGATTGTTAATCTAGGACTAGAGGTGTTTCCTCCCAAAGCTGTGGGATTCCTGGGGCTGATGTTCTGCTTTGAAGGAGGGAGGGAGCCTGGTCCTGGGCTCCTCTGCTGCTCTGCCTCCCAGGGCTCCCAGTGAGATGGGGCTGCAAAGCATCCTGCTGCTGATGTTGGGGACAGTGGCAGCTGCTCTGCCTGGCTCAGGACAGGTCCTTTCCCCTCACACCTTTGAGGACATCCCTTCTCAGCTGAAGAGAATGGGCTTCTCAGACAGAGGAGGATCCATCTTGGGTCAAGAGAATGCGTCTCCTCTCCCTGTGTGCACTTGGGCCTGTACCTGTCCCACTCCTGGCTGAACAGGGACATGAGTGTATCCAAAGGTCCTGGCTTAGTTGTGGTTACCTTGGAAAGCTGGCATGCCTGTCATGGGCAGCCCTGCATTCTTATCACCTGGACTTCTGGGCATCTGGTTTTTGGTGCTGATGCCATTTCTTAGCAGGTCACACCCCCTGGCACCCATTTCACACATACCCCTAGTATGCTGGGATCCTGGATTCTTCAGGGTCCTCACCCCCCTAGAGTCAGGGCCAGTGCCACAGAGTTGTGAGGCGGGCACAGTGTTTGTCCCTTTCCTTCTGGGGCAATAAAAACTCTGGTCCTGGGTGAGGAGACCTGAGCTCCTGCTGAGTCTTCATGGCTTACTAATGCTGGTGGAAACTTGGGTGTGTCATTTAACTTCTCTTGGGCAAATGAGAAAAATATATTACCTGCTCACCAATGATAAATTGGATGCCAAAAGATAAGGGTGACAACCTAAGTTTTCTTTCAGTACTGCCCTGTAGAACTCCAGTTCTCTCTGTGCTGTCTCCTCAACCTACATGGCACCTTCACTCTTATGCTTGCTGCCACCTTTCCCTAACCAAGCCTGTTCTTTAATGTTCTAATTCATGCTAAAGTGTAAGTGATTATCTTAATGATCAGGTATGTCTTGACCACTATAGTAGGTACTACGGAAGGAAAGATACGGAATGAAGCAGGTTTGGCCCTGGCCTTCAAGGAGCTTGCTGATAGGTGTTGAATTAGCTAGGGAATTAGAGAGGTAGGATGGAGGAGGAAGGTCTGAGGTTGGAACTCACCAGCCACTGGATTCCAGTCTGGAAGCCTGGGTCATAGTGTGGTAGGACAACTCTTAAATCATGCCCGGAGGAATGGGATACTTTTTATTATTTACTTATTTATTTATTTAAAAATATTTTAATTTATTAGAGAGAGAGAAGGAGCAGGGGGGTGCACTTATTCAGAAAAATTCCAATGTCCTTGCCATGGCTGGTGGGCTCCATAGGACCCACATCATGCTAGGTTCTGTGCTTGTCATTCCAGGAAATCTGGGGATGAGCAAAAACAGTCGTGTGATTTGCCTACAAGGAGATCTCAAGGAGTCTCCTGGGGTCATCAGACACAACCACAAGTAACTAGTGCAAGATCAGTTGGACCAATGTCAGAGGGGAGCGAAGCCCCAAGAAGTGACTCAAAGGAGGGGGAGACCCTCTCTCTTGTTCGTGAGGAGGGATAAGAATCATTTCACAGTGGAGGGTGGGAGGAGGGTCACAGAGGTTAGGCTTTGAAAAGCCGGCACGATTTTGGCAGCTGAAGCAGGAAGGGTGTTCTAGATGTGGGGAAGGGCATGAGCTCGTGTGAGAGTCCAGGGCATGGATTCAGGTAGGAGGAGAAAATGACGACCTGGCTGTGAGGCCCTCGCATTAGAGTTTTACACACAATCCCACTGAGTTCTCACACCTTTCCTGAGAGGTAGCTGCTCCTTTCCCCTACATTTGGGTGCGCAAATCAGGGCTTTGAAACATGAGCTTCCTGAGTGTTACCAACCTGGGGCGTCAGAGCCTGGTGCACTCTGCTGTACTTAAGGCTCAAAGCAGCCTTGGATGGAAGGCAGGGAAGCATTTAATTACATTTTACAGATGAGAAAAAGAGGTTTGAGATGGAGAGAGACTGGTTTAAAGACATAGAACCTCAGCTAAATTCTTCTGATGGCAATGAGGCCCCGTCACCTTTCACCCCGGGACCCCAGTGGGGGTGGTAGTCTGTATTTCCAGACCTAGTCTTTTTTATTCAGGGCATTCAGATCCCTTTGCAGCTAATGGATTATATGCAAAGCCATCTAGAGAATCAAGTGCTAAGCATACAGACCTACAGCGTGGTGAGGAAAGCTGGGTGGGCATCACTGCCCAGGTTGGACAATGAAGAAAATGGCCTGAGAGGCTGAGACCTGTGCGTGCCACACAGTCAGGTCTCGGTCTCCCTCTGCAGTGTTCCTCCCACAGCCTGTCTTCCTGCTTTTCTGTACTGCCTCCCTGAGGGTCCACTCCTCCAGGTGGTGGTGTGGAGGCCCTGGCGTCCACGGACCTGAGCCTGGCGGAGGGGACAGACTGCAGGATGCTAGGGGAACACCGTCTTCCACTTGCCTCCTTTCCATTTCCCTTTGCCTCCAGAAGACCAGCAGCTGCCAGGAGGGCTCAGTTCCCAGCAAGGAGGCTCTGTCTGGGGCGTGTGCAGGTGAATGCGTGAGCAGCTGCCTCTCTTGTTCCCGGCCCTGGCGTTTCCCCAGCCTTTCCCCTTCTCTGACGTGAGTTGGACTGCTCGGAGTCCTAGAATCAGGAAGCTGAGTGTCTGACGCTCAGAGCTAGGGAGGCCCTTGGGGGTCGCTTTCTCTACTGTCTCTTACTGTTGTAAGAGTGTAGGAGTGTCCTTTCTTCGAAGCCTTTGGTAGCCACTCAGATTCTAATAGAAGAATCCTATAAGTTAGGTATTTTTATTCCACTTGCAGAGTTACAAACTGAGGCCAAGACAGGTGAAATGACCTGTCAGAGATCACACAGTGAGCGCAAGTGGGATTCCCACCAGGGCTATGTGACTCCGAGGCATTCTGTGGTCTCAGCCTGGTGCAGAGTGTTTGTGCTGTGCCTGGATCCACAGGGAACACTTCATGGGTTTTGTCTCATGGGCTGGATCTCCTGGGGGAAACCTGTTTTCCTCTGGCCTGGGGGTTGGGTGGGAGGATTGGGGGAGCCTGAACTGTCAAACTCCTTTGGCCCGGCCTCTGATCCCACAGCTTCTTGTTGATTAGCTCAGTAGCTGTAGTTGTTTTCCCTCTAGATAGGGAGCCCCAAAGGCTGGGATAGGGTCTACTTATCCTGCTTCTCTGTGTAGCCTGGTTCCGGGATGGCCCAGGGCTAGAGGGGCCCAGGGAGGACCAGTTGACCAAGGAACCCCACTTGCTGAAGTGGAGAAATGGGAAATGAAATCAGAGAAGCCCATAGTGATCTTTCATGGAGGGATCTGGAATGCCAGGGCTGTACTGAATCAGAGAATGGGGAGTGATTGGTGGTTCTCAAGTAGAGGAATGACATCATCAGGCCAGTGTTCAGAGTATGCGGGTGCAAATGTCAAGGCTGGACTGGAAGGGGAGAGGCCAGTGAGGAAGTTGTTGGAATGGTGCAGCCAGAGCTGTTGGAGCCACGCAGTGGCCACACGTGAAGCCGCAGCCTATTCTGGACGCAGCCCTGAGCCACGGGAGGCAGAATGGATGGGCAGGGACTCAAGTTAAAAGCCCTACCTTGTTGGGGGGGTGGGTGTGCTAGAACTTTCATTAGTCAAGTTATGGTGGAGAGGGAGGCCACAATGGTAGACTCAGGAGCTGCCCTGAGGCCACTGTTTCCCACTTCTCTTCCCCCTTGACTCCAGCATCCTGAATTGATACTTGAGGAATTCTAGCAGCCAGCGGAATTTTGTCAGTGGCAAAGGGGAAGTTGAGAGCAGGATTCTTCTCTCCGTAGCTCTGCTGGGGCACTTGAGGCACAGGATGTTCCAGTAACCCTAACCCTGGTGTCTGCCCAGTGCTTCTTGCATGAGGCATGGTGCCGAGGACTTTATAGGTATTGACTAATTCAGTCCCTTTATAAGGCTATACGGTAGTTGTCACAAAGATTCCCACTCATAAACAAGGGACCTCAGGCTGTGAGGGCTTCAGCTAGCCATAAGACAGACGGAAGGGATGGGGCTGGGACTGGAGCCCAGGTCAGTGTGACACTGTGCCCGTGCCACTGGCTGGAGCCTCACTCTTCAGGGAGAGCTCAGGATCCCCAGAACTGCTTGTTTACTGAATGGATTCTCAGAGGCCCTCAGCGCAGGAGATCCTGATTCAGGTCTGGGCTGGGTCTGGGGAATCTGTTCTCCATGGCAGCTCAGAAGCAGGGATCAGACAACCCCATTCTGAGATGCCCCGCCTGATCTCACCCTCCTGGCAAAGCCTGCACAGCATATCCCCACTGAGGAAGTCGCTTGAGTAGAGTTGTGTGGGCTCGTGAACTTCCCTCCCTGTGAGGCCAGGGGTGCATGCACCATCTCCACTCAGGAAAGGGGTCCCCAGGACCTTCATGGGGAAAGGGCTTAATGCTCTAGAGGAATTCTGGAGATTCTGTGCTAGACTAAGGAGAAAGCCACTCTTGTCTATGGAGATTTGCAAAATCAGAGCAGAGGCGGCCATCAGCAAAAGGGGACAGTGAGTTGTGGGTGAGTGACACAGATGTTGAGGTCGAGCCTCTGCCCGGCCATGGTGCCCCCGCATTAGGGTTGCCGTTACTCCTTCTTAACTTGGTGGGGGAGAAATGAAATCTACCAGCTCTGTAGTATCCCAGGCTAGTGATCTGCGTTCTCACCGGGCTGCTCTCTGTAAGCTGCCGTGAAGGGCAGAGCATGGAGAAGGAAGGGGGTGGTGGAGAATGGGGTCTTACCTGTGAGTCCAGCCAGGGCAGGGGAAGCACAGGGCCTCCTTAAGGCTCCTTAGGGCTCCATCCCAGGAAGGGGCAGCAGGGATCTAGTTGCCCCCTTACCATTCACTGTTGTCTCTCTGCCTCCGGCTTGGCACCTATCTTTATACGCTCCAGCTGGCTTGAAACCTTACCCTACAGAAGCTTAGTTGACAGCCTGATCACTTGACAAGAGGAGGCTGGCTGGTGAGTGGCAGGGAGATGAGGGGAAAGGTCAGAGTTCCAGATCTGGTTTAGTTCCTCTGACTTAGGGTTCTTTAAAATAGCTCCTTCCAGCTGCTGAAAGAGCTACCTCAGGTAATCAGGGCACATATGGGGACAGGGGTTGGACCTGTCACCTTTGAGAATTCAAAGGTCAATGCCACACACAGGATAGGCAGGGCAGGGCTGTCCTAACATTAACAATGATAGTAACGGTCATTTCTTGGTGCCTACTGTGTGCCAGATACCTTAGAGACATTATTTCTATTTTTCACAACCCTATGAGGTGAGTACTATTAGGATTCTGTTTGTTTGTTTTTAAATATTTTATTTGAGGGGCGCCTGGGTGGCTCAGTGGGTTAAGCCGCTGCCTTCGGCTCAGGTCATGATCTCAGAGTCCTGGGATCGAGCCCCGCATCGGGCTCTCTGCTCAGCAGGGAGCCTGCTTCCTCCTCTCTCTCTGCCTGCCTCTCTGTCTGCTTGTGATCTCTCTCTGTCAAATAAATAAATAAAATCTTTAAAAAAAAATAAATATTTTATTTGAGAGAAAGAAAGCGAGCATGAGGAGGGGGGAGGGGCAGATGGAGAGGGAGAAGCAGACTTCCCTGAGCAGGGAGCTGGCTATGGGGCTCCATCCTGGAAACCTGCGATCATGACATGAGCTGAGGGCAGGCACTTAACTGACTGAGCCACGCAGGTGCCCAGGATTCTGTTTTTTTTTTTTTTTTTAAGATTTTATTTATTGATTTGACAGAGAGAGATCACAAGCAGACAGGCAGGCAGAGAGAGAGAGAGAGAGAGAGGGAAGCAGGCTCCCTGCTGAGCAGAGAGCCTGACGCGGGATTCGATCCCAGGACCCTGAGATCATGACCCGAGCCGAAGGCAGCGGCTCAACCCACTGAGCCACCCAGGTGCCCCTTTCTTTCTTTCTTTTTTTATTTTTTGATTCTGTTTTTTTTAAATAACAGCTTTACTGAGATATAATTCACATACATACAGTCCGCCTATTTAATGGATATAATTCATTGGTTTTAACTGTTCAGTTATCCAACCATCATCACAATTTTTAAAAAATTAATGGTTTTTTAAAGATTTTATTTATTTATTTATTTATTTATTTGTTTGCTTGTTTGTTTGTCAGAGAGAGAGACAGAGCACACAAGCAGGCAGAGTGGCAGGCAGAGGCAGAGAGAGAAGCAGGCTCCCTGTTGAGCAGGGAGCCCGATGTGGGACTCGATCCCAAGATCCTGAGATCATGACCCGAGCCGAAGGCAGCCGCTTAACCAACTGGGCCATCCAAGCATCCCATCATCACAATTTTAAAATATTTTCACCACTCCCCACACGCTCCCCCCAAATCCGTGTACATCAATAATCACTTTCCTTTTTCCCTTACACTCAGCCCCAAGCAATCACTAATCTACTTTCTGTCTCTATAGATTTCTTTTTTTTTAAAAGATCTTATTAATTTGAGAGAGTGAGATCGAGAGAGAGCAAGAGCAGGCTGAGGGGCAGAGGGAGAAGCATGACTCCGGAATTATGACTTGAGCCAAAGGCAGATGCTTAACTGATGAGCTGCCCAGGTGTCCCTATCTCTATGGATTTCTGAACCTTTCATATAAATAAAATCCTATTGTATGTGACTGGCTTTTCTCAGTTAGCGTAGTACATTCAAGATGTGTCTGTGCTATAGCATGTATCGGTACCTCATTCCTTTTCTCGCTGAGCATCTAACATTTGTAATGCTTCCTTTACAAAGGAGAAAATGGTGTCAGGGAGGGACAAGGACTAACCCCAGTCACACTGCTAGTATATGGTGTTGCCCAACCCCCAGTCCTTAAATTATAATATTTATAATTATAAATTAATAATTATAATTCTGGGTCTCTCTGCTGTGACCTTTACCGTCTCACACATGACACTGAAGGGAGCCAAAGGGAGTGGGCAGAGGTGTGTGGAGCATGGCAGGGAGGGCTCCTAGCAGCTGCTACTACTGTAGGCTCCATCAGTAGGCACTGAGGGGAAGGGTGGGGCACATCTGAACCTGGGACGCAGGTGACACAGGAAAGAGGGGATGGGGACAGGAGAAAAGAGGGGAATTCCGGGGTGAGAAGGGAGTTAACTGGGTAGGGCAGAGGAGTAGGCAGAACCCATTTCTGGACTTGGGCACAGAGCCATGGCCACAGGGCAAGTGGTCACAAGTCTAGACATTCAAGTGCAAAGCCAGGGCTGTGTCTGTCCTCTCCCTTGGAGCAGACCGTGCCCTAACATCAGTAGCCCAGGCAGTTCCCTTCATAAGGGAAGGGGCTGCTAGGACCGCTGAGGCTGGGCTCAGGAAGTAGGTTCCGGCTCCAGCTGGAAATGCTGGCCTGAAGGTGGTGGGTAGATTGCAGTGGGTACATGAGAAGGGATAAACAGCAGGCGCTCAAACAAGGAGGCCGTGGGCCCTGGAGTCCCCAGAGGGAGGACTCAACTTATATTGGGCTGGGAGGCTTCTTGAGGGCAGGGCCAGGTGTGTCTGCTGCGGCTCCCTGTCCCCAGAATCCAACAGGCACTAGAAGTTCAAAGGTTGGTGGCAAGGGCTGGGAGCAGCCAGCATCTGGTGATCAGAAACATCCATTTTCAGGTCTCTGCAGAGGCAGTGCCTGAAAGGAAGTGAGGGAGATGATGGCTCGTTGTCAAATACGTACCTCATGCCCTTAAGCCAGGCTGCATGGCTCGCAAGGCATTTCATCTCTGAGCTGTCACCGGGAAAGAGATCCAACTTTCAGGGAGAGGATACTGGTAAATAACACACTCTTTTTAAGTGGAGGTGATGGTTTACAGACCCTTAGGGTGCCCTTTTATTTTGGGGGGTTGCTCTGAGCCTGGGTAGGAAAAACCGCCTGGGTAGGAGCAGCCTGTGTCCTGCTGTGGCCTTATCCTAACTTGACCTAATCAGGTTATTTATAGAAGCTGGAGCAGGATTTGGAAGGAAAATTCTTCACCTGAGGCTTAACCCCTCAGGCCTGGGCCCCCAACTGCCCCTCTGTAGGTTCTATGTGGCCTTAAGGCAGGTGGAGCCCTTGCCTTGAAAGCTCCTACTGTCAACCTGAGATGCGGGGGAGGGTGTGAGCCGGCAGGCTGAAGGCTGAGGGGCTGAGAAGAACAAAAAGGGAACAGCCTGGTGGGAGGGCACTTCACTGATGGGGGGGCACCCTGTTCCTCGGGGTTTGTGCATCACCCTACACCCTCAGGCGCGTCCTGCCTGTCTCAGAGCCGTTGGGGTGCTTGCCTGTCTGCTGGTTAGCTCGGGAGCTCCGGGGGTGGGGGTGGGGTAGGAGGAGCTGACATTTCCTCAGCTTCCACCAAGTGCCAAGTGCAGGCGAAGCACTTTCACAAATGTCATCTTGTTTAGTCTTCACAACAACCCTCTGAAGCGTTATTATCTCCGCTTTGCAGATGAGGCAACAGCGGCTCAGTTGGAAGGACAGTCAAGCTGGAGGGGACCTATGAGGGAAGTGGCAGTGTCGACATGTCTCTTCCCTGTCCCTAGCAGCATGTGGCCCTGAGTGCTCTCCTGGTTTTTTCTCTGGGCTCATCCTCCGACTTTTCCGGGAAGCCCGCCCTGGTTGCTCCAGCCCACATGTTTTTTTTCCATCCATTTCCCCAATTCAGACCACTCACTGGCTACTCCCTGTGTGCAGAAGCCTTGTGACACCTCTGGAAATGTTGTATGTGGTGATTCCTTTCCTAGCTATATAAACAGAGGCAAATGACTTGACTTTGGAGAGTTTCAGTAAATGTAAAATGGGTATCATGACCTGTAGGTTATAGAGTTGTTATGAGGACTAAGCAAAATGGCCTGTGCTTGGGGAGGAAAGCGGGACCCTCCATGTTAGTTCTCCTCCAACCTTCTCTCCCAGCCATTCTGCACATCTTTGTGTTTTTCTTATCTTCCCCACAGGCCCGTCTATAGTAGCTGCTCAAATGTTTGGAGTTTGACAGTCTTAACCCAGAGCAATTCATCCTAGAGAGATCAGGGGTTCTGAGCGGACCTGTTCCAGGAGACTCCTCCACTCTGTTGCCGGATTGGAGGCATAAGCAAAGGAATAACGGAGTGTCCGCCCAATCTGATCTCTCACCATGAAGTCTTGTGGTGACCCTGGCCCCTGGTTCAAGGTTAGCTTAAGGGACTGTATGGTTTTCAAGCTTTCCTTTGGCTGTTAGAGCACAAATGGATTCCTAACACCCCAGTCCAGTGGCCAACCCAGGAAACACCTGTTTACAGAATACAAATACCAATATGATTTTATTCAAACACAGGCAGGAACAAGGACCTCCAGAGCTGGGTAAAAACAATAAGTTAAAAGCATGGTTAGAATTTCAGATAATCAGACAAAAGTCCAAAGGAGGTGATTTTCCCCCCTCCTTTTCTATTGATTAATTCAACACAGCGTAAAAATAATTTCTATCTATAAAATACCCTTATTTCTAAGCAAATCAGCTGAGGTGGCTCAAGGACTTCCTCAGCTATGCACAACACACACAATCTCCACCCCCACCTCTACCCCACCCAAACTTTAAGTCAAAAATGGCCCATGATATTCAGGCAGAAGGTGGGCTCATGTCAGCAGTAGGCTATCAAGGACACTGGAAGGAGTTTCTCAGCCGAGAGATGCCTCCTTGGGTCCCTTGGTCAAAAGCTGGGTGGTTCCACTTGGGTACTGGAGTCCATTTTGTTTAGAAGGAAGAAGCTGAAATCCTAGCAGATGGACTTTGGACTGGTTTGGAACATTCCTCCAGGCTGCGCTGGATGGGGTCCCAAGGCACCCATGGACTAGGCTGGTGGTAGTTTCAGGGCCCTCACGGCCTTGAAGGAAGCAGACCTTGTGTCTCATGTGAGCCGGACAAGGCCAAAGGAAAGTGGGCAGGCGGATCCTTCCCTTTGTCTTTCAGTCTGTATTAGTCTTTCTGGGAGTACTGGGAAGAAAATATCCGTGCGATCCTGCGAGTTTCTTCCTCAGGCAAGTTGGGAGGCAGCGATTTGGGTCTGGGACGACAAGGCCTTCTGGACAAGACTCTGCTGGAGGCCTCACTCTTGTCCTGAAAGAAGAAGTCAGCTAGGTGAGGATATGGCACCTCCAAGAAATGACTTTGGTTCCTCTCCTATCTTGGCTCTCTGACTAATATTGATATAGAGCTGACTGGTTTACAAAGCACTTTATGTACCTGATCTTGTTTAACCCTCATCTCAACCCCACGGGTGGGCACGTTGTTCCTAGGTCATGGACAGGAAACCAGAGTTCAGGTTTAAATAAACTCAAGGTCCCACAGCTTGGCGTGGCAGAGACGGGATGTGAACCCTAGCTGAGCCTCTGTCTGCCTGTGGAGGAGGAGCAGTCCCCTCCGGGACAGGATTAAAGCCTCATCCCTTCTCTTGCTGCATGAATATGGATAAGTCATTCGTCCTCTGAGTTGTAACTGTTCTATATGTCACCATGGGAATATATCCAATTGCCAGGGAGGAGATGTTGGTGAATACTACACTCTCAGTATGGCCCCTGGGAGTTCTGACAGCCGGCAGGTGACATGAACCACATCCCGACACTGCCCTCCTACCAAAGCTTTCCCTGCCTCAGGCTGACAGGGTATCACTAGTTCCCCTTTAAGGTCCTAGTGTACATTTGGGTTATGTGATGGTGGTCTTCTGGACTCCTATATGACTCACTCTTTTGCTCATTCAACTGCTCCCCACTCCACTTTATTTTCTGTACCAGGTTCCTGCCCTGGAATAGCTCAAAGCTATACAAAAAAGCCAACCCAGGCAGCCAGTTGACAGGAAGAGGCAGTGCTAAAAGGAGATGGGAGTCGCCACCACAGGTGAACTTGGCTGACCTCAATAGCATGCAGCCTGCCCTATGGATGGGTATCTCTGTCTCCAAATCCATGTGCTGAGGTCTTCACAAGCTGATGGAGGCATAGGCAGCTCACTGCACCACTCCCCAGGCACCAAGAATCAGTTTGGTGGAGACCCCAGAGATCTGAAACTACCTCCATGCCCCTTGTGATTCTGCAAATGGGAAACTGAGGCCCAGGGAGTTGCTTCTGGGATCAGTAACATTTAGTAATCCCCTTCCTTCACTTAACCTTTTCAACGCCTACTGTGAGGAGACAGAAATGAACAGAACCCAGTTCTTGTTCTTTTTTATTTTAAATATTGTATTTATTTATTTGAGAGAGAGCATGAGTGGGGGGTGGGCAGAGGAGAGGGAGAAGCAGACTCCCTGCTGATGGATTCCTAACAGGGAGCCCAATGTGTGGGCTCGATCCCAGGACCCTGAGATCATGACCGGAGTCAAAGGCAGATACTTAACTAAGCCACCCACGTGCCCTCAGAACCCAGTTCTTGACTTCCATGGCACCGAGAGGACAGAGTGATCTACTAAAAAAATTAGAAAAGCAGTCAGAATGTGATAAGGGGAGTGGATAGCCAGGCAGCCTTGAGGACTACCTGCCAATCTGGAATTCTAAATGCTGAAGGGGTCTACAGAACCTGAGCAAACTCTCACCACTGATAGCCCACAGTTAGGGTTGCCTGAGAACCAACCCACAGCTCCATGTCTTCTAGGGAGGCCTAGGCTAAAAGGAAAAAAGGAAAACTACTCTTTGCTCATGACTGGAGTTCTTCCTTCCAAAATATGAGAGGTGCTGTATAATGCCATAGGCCAGGATAGACTAATTGTCCAGTCCCTGGTTGTTGCCCTCCTCCTCTACACTGGATGGGTGCTCCTGCAAGACACGGACTGAATCTGATGCTTATGACTCCAACTGTGCCAGGTCCAAGATGGGAGGTCGGTAACTGCTAGACCAGTAATGGGTGGGACCAAGCCCTGGTGACCAGAGGCTGAAACTGGGTCGGGAGGAGGCTGCCTCTTACAAAAAACATCTTATTCATTCATTCTAGAACCAGTGTTGTTGGCCTACCATGTGCCAGGCCTTTGGTTAGGTCAAATTCTCTCAGGCTCTTGGAAGCACATTAAATCTTCATATACCCCTCTGTACTCCCAAGATCTAAGACTGTTGTCTTGTGAGCTATTTAGGATTTAGAGGTAATGATGAATCCCCTTCTAGTGCCCTGGCTCCACGCAGACACATTTTCTGGGTCACCAGCTGTACCTTAACTTTCCATTTCTTTCTCTGCTACAGTGAAAGGGGACAGAGATGTTTGTTTTAAAAGCTAAATGGGAAAACAGGCCTAAGACCATAGTCCCCTATCTCAAATCCTAAACCAAGCTTCTGTGTCCTCATCTGCCAGAAGAGAAGCACTGTTTTCAAGAAGTTCTGGTAGGTCTTATTTTCCATCCCTGGAAGGGTCAGTTGGGTACTTCAGTTTATGAAATGACCATTAAAGAACTTTGTTAGTGACTCATCAATTCAACCCGATCAATTTTTTTAAAATAAATAAATTTATTAAGCGTTTTTTTTTTTTTTGTTTTTTTTTTTTGGAGCATGCACATGCATGATGGGGGGGGAGGGGCAGTGGGAGAGGGAGAAGCACGGTCCGCTGCTGAGCGGGGAGCCCAATGTAGGGCTCCATTCTAGGACCCTGGGATTATGACCTGAGCTGAAAGCAGATGCTTAACCGACTGAGTTATTCAGGCGCCCCTCAACCCGATCAATTTCTAAGGACAATACGTAGCCATGGTTTCTGTCCCCACAGGGCTGCTCAGGCTAGAGGGGAGAAGACAGATGCCAACCCACCCAACAATCACAGAGATGAAGCTTAGAACTCGGAAGCATGGAGAAGGGAGCAATTCATGACAGCCAGGATGGACAGGGGAGGCTTCACACAGAGGTGAGATCCTAGATGGGCAGAGTGGCAGCTCAACTGGAGGTGGAATGAGGTCATTTCACTGGGGGTAACAGCATGAGCACAGGCCCGCACCTGACTGGCTGGGCCAACATCTGCCCTGGAGCTGAATCAAGTGTGGCTGGTTCAACCAACTTCCCAGCATTCACACCCGCACCGGCAACCCAGGGGGCTTTATCTGTATGGCCCAGGCCCAGGGACAGGGCTTGGCTCTGTGTACTAGGCAGGGCAGGGGTGTGGAAGGACAGAGAACACACACTCAGCAGCATTTGGCTTTTGTTGACCTCATTAGGGTCTAAAAAACATCTTGACTGGGAGTAAAGGTTCTTCCTTCATCAGTTATTACTCCAAAACACACAACTATGGAGGCGCTGGGCAGAGGTGAAATTGCTCAGAGCAAGGACACCCCTCCACGTTCTGACTGCTCCTCCGAAACCCTCGCATGCTCCTGCTGGAGCCCTGGGGGCCCAAGCCCTGAGCAGGGCCCCTCGCTCAGTACAGATGCCTGCCTTGCTCGACTTCCACCCACTTGGCTGGCTGCCTTCCCCTAGGCTGGGACTAGGACTTGTTGGGGCTAGAGAGTAGCAGATTCAGCAGCCACAGCTAGGAGCAGGGCAGAAATGGGGACAAGATACATAGACCAGGGGCCTAGCCCTGAGAGACAAATCCTAAATTTGAGCCCCCAGCCCAACTGCAGCGTGGCTGGGCTCCATGAACAGATGATGGGAGAGGAGGTGCTCTGTCACTCAGGAACGGCTTCCAGCTGGTGGATCCTTCTTTGGCCAGGTCCCTGTGACATAGTATCTTCTCTAAAACCTCCCTCAGGAAGGCCCAGCCCTCTTCTTTTTCTTTCTTTTCTTTTCTTTTTTTTTTTAAAGATTTTATTTATTTATTTGACAGACAGAGATCCCAAGTAGGCAGAGAGGCAGGCAGAGAGAGAGGAGGAAGCAGGCTCCCATCTGAGCAGAGAGCCCGATGCGGGGCTCGATCCCAGGACCCCGGGATCATGACCTGAGCTGGAGGCAGAGGCTTTAACCCACTGAGCCACCCAGGCGCCCCGAGGCCCAGCCCTCTTCTTTGGGCTGAAATGTGGTCTGGTCCAAGCCACTATATTCTGGGTTCTCTCCACTCTAGTCCCCCAGTGGATCCTCTTGAACAGATCATCTGCCGGAAGGTGGTGGGTGCAGTCTCCCCACTCACCCCTGCTTCAGGGTGTTCCTGGGACTCTCAGAAGGGAGGCAGTGGGGTAGAGTGGAAGGAAAATTGTCTGTGGCCAAACTCAACTATCCACTTGCTTGATGCCAAGACACACTCTTTCTCTGGGTCTCGGTATCTTTGTTACCAAAGGGAACTAAGAACTTCTGTTTGGCCTTCTAATCCAGGTCTACTATGAAGGCGAAATGAAATTCATACGTGACCAAGGGTCTGGTCGGCTACATCTTGTAAAACACCTGCTACGTGAAATAAATGGATAAAATCTTAAAAAAACAAAAAAAAACAAAAAAAACCTGCTACAGAGAGGACTTGCTGTTCTCAGACCTCACCTGGGCAGAGTAGAAGTAAGGTACTGTACCTCCCCAAGGCATGCCCCCAGGCCTGGCCAAGCTCTCCCCACTCCACTGCCCTCTGCCCAGTGAACCTCTGGACCTGGCATCAGGGCTGAAGTTTTGTTCTTTTCTAGAGCGATTCCCTTAAGTAACATAAACACAGACTTAGTTGCTGAAACAAAACTTTTGCAAGAGCTAAAAACTGAAAGTAAACAGCTCCCTGATTCTGGCTGGCTAGGTAGGCTTGCCAACAGATTGCTGCCCCAGAGATAGTTCAGTACAGCTGCCTGCCTTCCTCAACTTTCACCCCCTTGGCTGGCTGCCTTCCCCTGGGGTGGCTCCCAGAGTCCTCTCCGAAGGCTGGAATTAGGACTTCCTTGGGCTAAAGAGAGTTTGCAGATTCAGCAGCTACAGCTAAGAGCAGGGGAAATGTGGGGACAAGACACAGACCAGGGGCCTAGCCCTGAGAGGCCAATCCTAAACCTGATCACTCCGCTCAAGTGCAGTGTGGCTGGGCTCCCTACTCTGAGCTCACCCTCTGCTCCTGCAGTAGAGCCTGGTCACGTGGTTCTCACCACCTACATGCTCCCTCCATTCCTCACCACACCCACTTCTTTCCCTATCCTTCCTCTGAGGAGCCTTCCCGGACAAGAGGCCCATTCTATAGGGACTAGAGCCACTCCCTCACCCTGGGTCTCAGTCTCCCCATCTATAGAATGAAGAGGCCTAACTAAATCAAGACCCTTTGACCCTCTGAACTCACACCCTGCTAGGGAGAGGGGTTGAAAGTCCCGACTCCTGAGAGGGAAGGGTTAAAGTGTCACTTCTGGAAGAGGTCCTTGCTCCTCCCACACTCTGGCTTCAGAGTATCTCAGGCAACTTGAGCCCTGTGCCTGCCCAAAGGTCCTGTGGGCCCTTTCCTGTGAGGTGCCTGCCAAGTTGCATTCTGGGTCAGGGTGGGCACCAGCCAATTCTGGCTGTTACCCCTGACTTCTGTACACCCTTGGCAAGGGAGCTCATCTCCCAAAAGCTCTGTGTGGACTTTATCAAAAACCCTTGGACCTTTAGGATTCTTCTTGGCACTCTGCAGAGAGCTGGGGACTTGGTGGCTCAAAGAACTGAGGCAGTACATTAAGAGGGACATCTCAGCCATCAGGCTTAGACCACAGGCTGAAGAGAGAGGATACTGGGCTCAGGAAGTTCCCTTGGGCCCCAGCTGACCAGATCTGACGGTTTTATGGAAGCTGGGTTTCTCTACCAGGACTGTGCATCTCTTAGATGCCTCTAGGCCTGAGGAAGGGAAACCAAGAGACAGAAAAAATTCTTTGAACTCCTGTGAGAAGAGAGGCAAACTTAAAGCCTTAAGACTCATATACAGGCAGACCAGAGACTTCTGAGGCTAGATCTGTTACCCTCAGATAGGGGTGGTGTATCACCCTGGGCTTCTAACTCAGGGTCTGAATGGAGCAAAGAGTCTACCACTATAGCTTGAAAACTGCTTCCATACTTCAGGGCTGCTCTGTGGGGCTTAACTTCCCAGCTCCCAGTTCCTGGTGCTAAGCTTTTGATCACGCCCCTATCCCTTAGCGTTTCATTGTACCAGTTTCCCCCAAAATGGAACAATAAATAAGAGGGGAGACATCTCAATAGTAATGATGATAAAAATAATAATAGCTAACACTCATACAGTTCTCTCTCAAAAAGATTTATTTACTCCTCAGGAACAACAGCACCTGGCCCCATGCCTGTGGTTCATCCGGGAACTTGTTCCTGCTGTGTGGAGAGCCTGGCCTTGGCAGGAGGGCACAGAACAAGACAAGGCCCATCTCACAGTAAAGAAATGCCGTGCAGGCAGGCAAGGACACCAAAACTCAGATGATAGGTTACTTTTGCTCTTTGCTTCTGATTCCTATCCCAACCTGACTGTTCTGTTTGAGTTCAATCCCTCCCTACCTTTGACCTCCTTTCTAGCGTACACTGCTTGGACCTCTGAGTTGCCAAATTCTGCTGATTCCCTGAGAGGTTTCTTTTCTCCAGAATCACAGCTTATAAAACCTTTCCTTCATCTCTGAATTCTACTCAAGCCACTGTTGTGGCTCTGTCTTCTTTTCCCTAAATTCATTCTTTTTTGTCTTGTTTTCCATAAGTGTTATTGTAGGCTAATATCACTTGGGAAAGCTAGTGAGCGGTTTGGAGGCCAGTACCCCTAGGAACCGAGCTCCCTGCAGACACAGTCCGTAGTACCAAGTCCAGCCCTTTAAGCATGACAGGTACTTGATAGGAGCTGGAGGACTGAGATATAAAGCTGGCTCCCCTGGGGAACTGTGAGCTCCTGAGGGAAGGGGACTTCTATCCTCTCTGAACCTAGTTCAGGACTATGACTTTAATTTGCCAGAAGATGTATGTGTCAAGTTTGAGGCCGAAATTACCTCCCTACGCTCTGGCCTACGTGTCCTCAGGCCCAGTTCTGGCTCTCCTAGTCATTAATGAGAAGTTACTGGAGGGTTCCAAGGAGAGAAGTCACAGGATTTACTCAACATCTTAAAAGGTTAACAGATGCTGTATGGGGAATGGGTTGCCAGGGGCAAGGGCAGAAGCAGAAAGGCAAGTGAGATTTCTGCAATAATCTAGGTAAGAGGTGACAGTGGTTTAGACCGTGGTGGTAATGGTTGGTGTGGTGATAAATTAGATCTGGATGTATTTTAAAGACAGAGCTGCCAGAATTTCTTGGTGGATTGGAAATAGAGGTGTCAGGGGGATTCTAAGGGTTTTGGTCTAAACCACAGTACTAGAAGGATAGGGTGTCTGGTAACTGAGATGGGGAAGACTGAGGAACAGCTTTGAGGAATCAAATCTGGAGTGAGTGTTAATTTGAAGTATCTGTTAAATACCTAAGTGGAGCTGTTGGGTAGGCAGCTGGCCACATGAGCCTAGAGTTTACAAAAGTCTGAGTGAAGATAACAGTAGCAGTGGTCAGCACATAGAAAGGATTTAAAGCTCTGAGATCAGATGGGGTCATCTGGAAAACAAATGTAAATGGAGCAGTCTAGACTCTGCCCGCGGTTACTCCTTTGTTAACAAGTAGAGGAAATAAGGAGGAACCAGCAAAGGCGGCTGAGCGGGAACAGCCATGAAGGAGGTGGAGAACTGAGAGGAATTGATGCCTTAGAAACAAGTGAAGAAAGTGTTTAAAGGAGAGAGAGAGATCGACTATGTCACACGCTGCTGAGAGGGCAAATAAATGGGGCACTCAGATTTGATAGGTGGCTTAGGAATATGGGTTTTTATTTTTTTAATATTTATTTATTTGACAGAGATGACAAGTAGAAAGGCAGACGGGGCAGTGGGCGGGGGGGGGGGGAAGCAGGCTCACCTCTGAGCAGAGAGTCCGACATGGGGCTGGATCCCAGGACCCTGAGATCATGACTCGAGCTGAAGGCAGAGGCTTAACCCACTGAGCCACCCAGGCGCCCCAGGAATATGGGTTTTTAAATTATAAAAAGGTTTTTGCTTTTTGGCAACCCTGAAGAGTCCGCCTGCCTTCCAGCTGTGGGAAAGCGTGGACATGAGTGAGACTGGTTAGGAGTCATGAGAGAGATGATGAAGACAGATAACAGGATGGTGGGAAGTGAGTACACGTAGATGATATTTAGTGGGCTGAATTAACAGATCCTGGTAACAGAAGAGCTCTGGGGTAGGGGGGTAAAGGAGCAAGAGAGGGGAAAGAGGACACGCTTCTGGCAGAAAGGCTGTGCAAAGGGAGGTGCCAAGCTCAAGTTTTGGACATAGTGCACTGTTTGTGACACATCAAGGAAAAGATGGCTAGGATGCGGCTGGATTCAAGTGTGTCTGCAGCATGGGAGAGAAGTCTATAGACGAAGATAAGGATTTGATGGATCGTCAAACTGTAAATAACTTAAATACTTGGAAGTGGTTGAGATTTCCCCAAAGAAACAGCTGCAAGAGCAGAGGACAGAAACTTGGGGGAAAACAACATATGAGATGCTGCTGTCTCATCTTCTCTTTCCTCCCCTTTAGGGAAGTTGATAAAACTAATTTACCCACAAGCAGCTAAGCAAACAGAATCAGACGTAACTTTCAATAAAACCAGGAAGCTGTCCCAGCGAAGAGGTCCTTGATCATGGGAGGTAAGACAAAGCAGAGGCAGCAGAACTTGACTAATGCGCAAGTACTACGACACCGCCACTGGCTGGCGTGCAGCAGTCCTGCTCAACGGCCACCCACCTCCTCCTCTTCTTCTGAAAGCGGCGATAGCCGGAAAGGAGGCAGTCATGAGAAGCAGAGCTAAGGGTCGGCCTCTGTTCCCTATCTCTGTGGCACTTGGTATTCTATAACCTCCCCGTGAGGCCTGATAACCCCATCTGACAAGTGAGGAAGGAAACAGACTCAGCAAGATCAGACTTGACTAATGTCACACAGAGACCTGTAACCACTACACCGTTGGGGAAGGGGTGGAAAAAACCCTGTTTCACAAAAGCTGGACGTGTTTCTGAGCCAGAAACCTAGAGCCACGTTTCTGGCTCTAGGGCATCATTTCAACGTGAAGTGAAGGATCAGGCCTTCCCTTAGAGCTTGTGGTGAGGCCAGAACAGTTGAGCCAGTGCTTGCAGAGTCTCTCCTCCTGTAGGGACGGGTTGCTTGCCTGGCCCTGAAGCAGGTTAGCTACAGTGGTCCTAGGACACTGGTTGAGAAGAGCCCAGCAGCCTCTCAAAATGCTCCCCTTCAACCTTCAGGGCCAAGGCTAGCCTTAGGAGGAGGCAGAACAGATGACATTCTCAAATGAGGGTAATAGGACAGGGTTGCTGCCCTTCTGTCCCTAACTCTCACTTCTACTGTTGACAAGGCCTGAGACATTACAAAAAACAGAAGACAACAAGAGACAAGAAGAGAAAATAGATGGGCACCTGGGTGGCTCAGGTGGTTAAGCATCTGCCTTTGGCTGGGATGATGATCCCAGTGTCCTGGGATGGAGCCCCATGTTGGGCTCCTTGATTGGCAGGGAGCCTGCTTCTCCTTCTGCCTCTGCCTGCTGCTCCCCCCTGCTTGTGCTCTCTCTGTCAAATAAATAAAATCTTAAAAGAAAAAAAAGTAAAGAAAATAGAAGCTTCCATCAAATGGGAAA